CCCCCAAAAGCTTTCCAAACCCCCAACTCTCGACCCGTCACAGTGCAACGCCATCTCACATCTCCTGCATCTTGTCCTTGTCCCACATAACTGCTTTGATATACAGCTCTTCTTGCATCACCCTTACACATACGACATCCCTAATACAACAAGCCTCAATACATCTCCGTTTTCGTATGTACATATACACTCGTCACCCAGATTGCTAGGTTCGTTGATTGCAGTGCTGCGCGTTCGCCGTCGGCATTACGTCAAACCTTGCCCCGAGACTCATGCTCGCAGAGGTACACCACTACAACGCAACGCTTCTCTGCTAGGCACAGACCGTGCCGAATAATTCTTCACGTGTCAAGGCTGCATACCTTGAACGCAATATCGATCCTGTACATGTGGTGCATTCGAATCAATGGATGTACGAAGTACGACGGGACAAGTCAGGTAAGTGTGAAGTACTGAGACTAGCACGCAGGTGCGAAGGTCGAGCAAAGATGAAGGGGGAGTCGGATCAATAGGTGCAGGATAGGGCGTATGTATCTGACAGTATAGACGGAGGACGCCGCGAATGATCGCTGCACGACGATATGCAACAGTTCGAGAAGTTGAGTAGGGGTAGAAATATAAATACGGAAGAGGATCGGTGTTAGTATCTGAAGGGTTGATGATAAGTGGCGAGTAAGACGGGAAGACGGGAACGGAGATCGTTCGCTCGCACAACGGTAGCGCCTAAGGAAGGTCACAGTCGACTTGAACAACGTCTAACTGCGAGCCCCTCTTCGACGGGGGTCTCTTGAAACCGTTCTCGAGTAGAAGCCACCGCAGTTAACCCGAGGCGTGCGCTCTCATATGTGCTCTGTCCTGACCCTCCCACTCCTTCTCTCGGGACGCATTGAGAAGCGGGCCAGATTCATCTTTGGCACTACTCGAATGAGAGAGCTGGGAGGAGACATCATGTGAATTGCGGTAATACGCCTCGGATTCTGTCGGCCCAGTGGGTGAACCTGAGTCACTTCCAGCCTCGGGAACGGGTTCGGACGTCAGGGAGAGCTCGGGTGCAGGCGTAAGCTCATATGTATGCTCTGGCGCCGGTTCGTAACCTGACGCAGACGGAGTTGCGGGCGGGAGCAGAGCGCCCATTAGAGATGTAGACGCAGGAGGGGAGAGCGGAACGGGCGGCCCGGACGGGAGCGGCGCACGGATATCGGCGAAGCTCGCCAGGTCGTGTAGTGCGCTCATTGCGAGTGTATCCAAGCTCCGGCCGTCATGAACGGCCAATCCGGGACCGACCTCCAGCGACGCTTTGACCAGTTCTTGATTGAATAGGTCTCGCAGTGGCTGAGTGGCGGCGGGTTTTGGAGTGGGAGGGGCCGCGCGGAGTGCTCGTGGCCATTCCCACATAGATGGCGTATTCTTCGGGAGGTATCCCGAGTCTGCATCCTTCCAGCCATCACGCCAGCCACAACGGCTCGCACCATCCAAAAGAGTAAAAGCGTTGCGGTATGCCAGTTCGATTCGAGCGTCGCTTGGGGACGCAAAAAGGGCATCCATGTCGTCGTGGTCGTCCACAGAAATGGCCGGCATGCGAAGGGCCTCTATGCTCTGTAGCAGCGCAAACAGCCACTGCAGTCTGGACTGCGAGAAGCGACCAGCGTTTCTGTCTGAATGATCCGATAACCGCCCCATAGCTATGATGAGCGCCCAACGTAGGCTTGAGACTGCTGCAAGCAAGGAAACGTCTCCTCGGTCGATTGCTCCTGCGCTGAACTCTCCGTATTGTTCGAAGAACGGCGGCAACAAGCTGACCAAAGCCTCCATTCGCGCCCATCGTCTGTCCTCTCTCTCGGCAGCCTCTTTGGCGTTTCTAGGTCGCACATCCTCGCCATCTGCTAAAACAAGCATCTGCAAAAACCGGATTGACCCGATGGCGTCAGTCGGAGAACTGACTGTGGCAAAAACGGCAGCGAGCCTGGCGACCATGCCGGCGTCCTCGATCAACTGAGCGATGTACTGCGAGATTCCGGAGGATTCCAGGCTGAAGAGCCTGCGAACCATGTAACGAAGGGTGTCCGGAGTCTCCAGCAGATGTAACTTCGTGAACGTTGTGAGATAAAGTAGCTGATTGACGGAAATATATTTTCGTTGCCCAGGGTGCAGGGCCCGATCCATCATCCTCCCGCGTACTTCGTCTGGGTCCCCTTTGATGAAGGAGAGCAGCAGCGCGGGGATCACTGGCGCGAGAAGGATGTATTCCTTCAACAACCTCAAAATCCATCGGGGGTCTAGATCGGGAATGAAGGCGTGCTTCTCATCCACCCACGTTCCCACCGCCCTGCACGCCGATATGATATACACGGCCACGAGTGAGATGAGCGTGACCACCCCAAAGGTAGACCATGCGATGAGATAGGACAGGGGGTGCGGTAAGGGCAGTTCGGGTCTAGCAATGGAAAAACGCTGGCAAGAACGTAGAAGAGTGCGCAGATGCCAGAGGCAATCTCGAGAGTAAGTGCGATGACATTGTCGATTGAGTCCAGCCATATGACTTGTCCCCCAAGGAAGAGTATCACAGCAGCGTGCATCAAGCCTACGACGAGCGTTGCAAGACGATCTAAGCCGTAGGTGTGGATGCCCATGAATGCGGCAAGACTGTGGCGCGGGATGAGTGAGCATGGCTACATTCGTGCAAGGGCGTAGCGCACTTACCATGCTGACCAGTCACTGTACTAACGGAAGTCAACGCAGAAAGGCACGTGGTTCTGGACAGGAATGAGGTAAAGATTTCAAGTGAGAGGATATCTGCAGGCAGACTTAGCTGGT